TAGACTGCAAATTATGTGGGGGAAAAATATACATTGCTTTTGAGCATTCAGAAACAGTACCTGGTGTTTTTGTTTCTTGTCCTGGTTTGCAAACTCTGTGTTTTTCAGCATGAAGGCACTCTGAATTGGAGAAGCGAACGCAGCGATATCCATCAAGTACATCACAGATGGTGTCTCTTACTGCAGTGCATTTACTCTGGATGTAAAGACCTTGACCTAAAAGAGCACATTTAGAAACCCATTCACATAGGCAATACTGCAAAATTAAAAAAGGAATACACATGAAATATATAAACATACTTTCAGCACATTGTCTGCATGGGAAGCACTGATAAAGACCATTGGGCTCACTCATGAATGTTCCTGGACTGCAGGGTATACATGTGGTACTGAAATCACCAGTGCAGTCACGGTACACCACTGACCCTGCAAACAACAAATATTAACAAGACACAAGGTGGTGACCAAGCAATTCAAGGATCTCCTGGAAAAATTAAAAAAATTATGGGTCCCTCGCCCAGGCTCAATTAGATGTCTATAAGTTAGTGCCCCTCCTTGTCACAGGGCCTATGACAATACGTGATGATGTTGTTGTTCATAGATATTCATGTGATTTCATAAGTTCTCCTGAGTTGTACAGTTTTAGTTGAAGGTGGAGAGGGAGGTGTGTATACATGAATGTGCAGGGATTATAGTGGCAGAATTCCCAAAGCATTATTTAATTATTTAATATCCAGCATAATTACATACATAAAGAAATACATTTTGTCTTCTTGTGGTCAATTACCTTCGTCAGCAGTGTGCCGTAGATACACCCATCTTAACTATTTTTATAAATCACTTATCCTGTATAAAAAAAATAGCAGATATGTGGCCCAATTTCATAACTTCTGTTAACTACTTTTGGGGTATGGTGGAGATGGGAGAACAGGTGAAAAGGTTTTTTTTTTTTTACTATCATATTTAAATGTGTTTGATGAAGAGTTAGCCTACCTCTATTGCACATTGGACAACATTCTCGGCCAAAAGGTCTATATTCATTTGGACCACAAGTACTTCCAACTGAGAGATGATAAAAACCTGTAAAGACACAAAATAAACAGCATCAAACCTATAAACTCTTAATGGGCCAAATGTTTTCCCGCTCACTGTCAACCACACCATCGTTTACAGGTCAACTTACCTAATGCGTAAATAAAAAGAGTCGCCCTCATGTTTGCTCCTTCCACTAAATTAATGGGCTGTTGCGACGTTCTGCTTCTTCTTTTTATTGGCGGTTGGCAAACCAACTTTAGGTGCATTACCGCTTATTGATTAGGACACCTCAAACATTAGTGCAAACATGTAGAGCTGTTGATAGGGGCAAATTACTCTATGACAAATGTTAGTACATCACAACTATTTGTGCTACATGAAAATGAAAATGTTTCGACTTTGTAAGACTTTTCGTATAAAATTCACATTAGATTAGCTAAACTCACATAAGCCAAGAGGTTAATATAACATCAAGTGATTGATCATCAGAATCTTTCAACACAGTGATTTCTTAACAGATTTTGTGCCACTAAACCAACCTTAGCTTATCCTGCACACAACACTAATTTTCTAGGCTGAAATTACACACATTGAATGCTGTAAGTGGATTAATGTTTGCTGTAACTAAAAACTAATGACAAGTAAACATTCTGAAAATCACTTCAAGACATTTCAGTCTTAGCAGTTCAATGTTGTGACTTTTGTCAGGGATCAGAGGTGAACGAGTCTTTTAATGATATTGCAGTTCCTTGTCAATGTCGAATCTAGAGCTGCTACTACTGTGACTTTACTGTGACTTTGACGTGATGGAGAAGCTTGGGTTCCTCAGGGAACTTATCCCATTGGAAGGTTTCAAACGTAGGTTCAACCACAACAGCAAGCTGGTATTTTTTTGTAAGCTTCTCCATCACGTCAAAGTCACAGCACACATAGAAGATTGCAGCCCCCAATAGCTCCAATAATAAGTAGATCACTGGAGATCCAGCAGGTGGGATAACTGAGAATTTTAGGAAACAATTATATATTTCTCCCTGTAAACAATATGTATATATATATATGTGTGTGTGTGTGTGTGTACCATCGGTGACAGAATGGAGAAAAAACCTTGGGAGAAACCAGGCTCAGTCGGGGGGCCAGTTCTCCTCTGGCCAGACAAAACCAGCAGTTCAATTTCAGGCTGCAGCAAAGTCACATTGTGCAGAGGACTCATCTGGTTCCTGTGGTCTTGTCCCAGTGGTCGTCTGAGACAAGGGGATCTGTATCTGTATCTGGGGCTCATCCAGTTGTCCTGGTCTCCGCTGTCTTTCAGGGCTGTGGAGGTCCTTTCTAGGTGCTGATCCACCATCTGGTCTGAACACGTACTGGATCCGGGTGACTGCAGTGACCATCTGATCTGGATACAGACTAAATAAATAAATAAACAAAAGCAACAATTTTTTTTTCTGGATGTAAGCATGAAAACAATGCCTTACGGTATTGCAACGCATCAAAGCAGTCAATACAACACAGTCAAGAATAACTTAAGTAAACTGTGGACTATCTTTGACTCTTGCTGCTGACTTGAATGACGATGATTCCCGTTTGTCAGTTGATGGCCTTTAATTTTCAACTAGAAATGTGCACGCTGCTTTTCTGATGTTCACTGAAGTTTTCAGTGTCTTTTTCCCGTGTCACTTGAAATGTGTCCGTTTTGAATTGTTGTTACCAATGGTGAGACACGTGAGGAAAAAATAAACGATCAGTTGTGGGCAGGGGAGGCGCCGGAGAATTTTTAACACAGGTGCTGAGGGGGTGCTAGATCATTGACAGGTGGAGCTGGGCAATTAGGTTGAATTTGGGTAATCTGGGACATTTTTTGCAATTTTGACTTTTTTGCGATTTATTTCTATATCTATCTAACACATTAGATCAACACATTAGACTTTTCTGAAATCCCTAAGATTGTAAGAAAGAATGTAGATATTATTCTCAGAGGAGACATGCTATAGACTATTAAGTGTTTTTGTGCCAAAAAAAAAATAAAAAATCTGCCTGAATTTGATAATCTGGGACAGGTCACTTTGTAATCTGGGACATATGTATTAGGCCTAAAAAAAGCCTATATTCACCATGCTTTATGCATGCCAAACACAATATCACCAATTTAAAAAAAAAAAAAAAAACATGAAAAAAATGACAAGTACAGAAACCTCAATAAGAAAATGTATATTCCAATATCAGGAAAAATAATTTCTATCTCTACACAGGATTAACGATCTACTGTGTTAATTCATTTAAATTCATTTAAAACTCTATTAAAATTGTTTAACATTTGTTTAACATTGTATTAACATTTAAAAAAAAATCAACTAAAATTTAAGCAACAGCAAGCAACAATTTGATTAACGGATTATTCATTTGGTTATACAAGTTCTCCATTCTATTAAAATTGGGGCTACTCGAGGAACAAACACTCCTTGCAGGTGAGAGACCCTTCATCATCTATCACGCCATTATCTTCTGCACATTTCATTTCGTGATACCAATGTGTGTGTGTGTTTGTGTACAGAATATTGTCAACTGGCCTGGGCGCACATCCCCCTCCTGCTCAGTGGTTTGAACCGTTGTATATACTAAATTAACTGGGAATTTGGGAAATGAAATTAACGGTTTACTTCATCCTGATACCTTTGCTTGCTATTGGAATACATTTCCCAGATTCCATCTCTGTAGCATCTCTCTAGCTAGCTGGTTTAGCTAGCTTCTAGCTACTGTGAACTTGTGCTAATGTTATAACCTCCAGTAGTCCACATTAACACCCATTTCTCATTATGGCATATATTAGACCTTGTCATTAGACTTATAAAGTCCCTAAATGCATATTTCCCCCATTTGAAGACTGTCACGGATTACCCAAAGCATGCTGTCCCACATTCTCAATCATATTTGATAATGTGGGACAACAAAAAAATGTTTGAAAGAAAAAAAAAAAACACATTTTCAACACTTTTATACATATTTTTTTGCTTGACTAGATCACAAACATAATTTGACAACAATTAGGAACATTGTCTTATTTATGACAGATTTATGTCCTTAACATTAATCTAGTCAGAATCCATGTCACTGACCTTGTCATGCAATTCCCAGAGGAGCTTCTTGATTGACAAGTGCCCTGCCCCTTTCTGTGGAATCACCACCATGAAGTCATGTGATTTCAGTCCCATGACATCCATGCTAAAATTATAGTACAATATCATTTAGTAATTGCAATGTCTTCTATTGTGTGCTAAATACTGATTAATGTAACATAAAAATACTAACGTATACATATTTATATATTTTGCTATTGTATTATGGAGTGACACTTTAATAAACTTTTCTATACCCCTCTGATTATATAATGGTAAATATTACAATAACATAGCACAACAACAGTGATCAGCAATAATGATAAGCCTAATACTCACAATAAAAATAATAAGGTCATATAGATCATAACACAGTCTCGGAGGTAAGAAGTGGATTATCCTTCACCTGAAATGTTTGTCTTTTCATCCTGAAATGCGAGGCAAATGTTGGATCACAATAATTAGGAACCACAGTTTCCACAAATCCCTTCACTCTATTGGGATGTTTTCCTTTATTCTGGAGGGCAAGGGCAGTGACTGTAACATCGAGCAGATTTTGCAGTATTAAACACGCATTTATACAACAAAACGGTGCAAAAGGTTTTTAAACGTAAACGGTGGTGCGTTGAACACACTGTTCTGATGACACAAGAGTTGCAACTGGCAGCTGAGAGAAGGCCATTCTTTGTGTTCTTTGAGAAGAATTCGATGAAATCGGTATAAATACGTGTTTAATACTGCAAAATATGCTCGATGTTACAGTCACTGCCCTTGCCCTCCAGAATAAA